TTTTAAACAGGCCCAGCCCTCCTGTCCATTTCCCCTAATTCAGGACACGTGGAAGGTAAATGGCCTTTGCTTAAACCGGGACACAGCGTCGGCTGTGACAGCTGGAGGGCCTGTAAGTCGGCACTGCCTGATAACAGGGATGGATATCAAGCCTCACCAGGAGAGGGGGGACGGCGAGGGCAAGGGAGGTCCTGGAGATGCTCTGAGGTCGCCCAAAAGCCAGCAGATGAGGTCGGATGGCGGCTCGTTTGCTGACGGCATCTCGCGGAAGCCAGCGGGATTTAGGGAAGTGCCATAAAAATGCTCAAGCAGAAAAGGGCTCCCTACTGCTGGAAGCATTGACTTCCCATCCTGGAGGGTGTAAAAATCAGCGCAAACCTGCCTTTTGGAGCAGAGCTGAGCTCTGCTGAGCTGCTCCCGGTGTCTCCCGGGATGCTGCCATCCATCTCTGCTGGTTCTAAAGCAAGTTTGGGAGCTAAAAGAGGTGCCCGGGGGCTCCAGTTGTCCTTGTGCTCCTTGATATGGTCCAGAGGAGACCTGCATTATATCACTAATCAAAAAAACAAAAAAAACACCTACAACAAGAAAGCCCTTTCCTGCCAAGGAGCTCCTAGTACAGATTTGGAGTGTCTCACCAGCCCCAAAACCAAGCACCGTGCCCAGGAATGATCACATTGTGCCACGTTCAGCATCCTGGGGATATCAGGCTCATGACAATCCTAATTCCATACCCGGAGCGGTCCGGGTGCTCTGCAAAAGCTCGGGATTTGGGCTGGAAACGGCGGCTGCACGTGGCTGTGTTGGGCAGTACCTGCTCGGCGGAGCCCATGGAGAGACCTGCCCCGGGCAGGGCGCGCGGAGGAGACGTCCGAGCCACTATTTATAGCCCCGGTTGGTGGGCAGACAAAGCCTAATCGTCAGCAGCCGCCGCCTCGCCACGGGTCCCGGCGTGTCACCGCAGCGCCGGTGACGGCCCCGTGTCAGCATGGCCTGAGCCGCCGGCGTGGGCTCGGATTAGTGCCCGGAGCGAGGCGGGACAGCGGCCGGGGCGCTAACGGGGTGGCCCTCGGTCCCTTTGGCCTCAGCAGTTCCATGATCCTGTGAAGTCCGGCCAATATTAGTGAGACTGGGGGGATTTTTCCCTAAAAAGATACCCCGCCAACCCAAGCAACTGCGGTGCCCACTGGGAGGGCTTGGTGAGATCGCTGCCCTCTCCCCTTCCTGCCTGCTTTGCTCTTTGCCAAGTTGCTAGGGATCCATTTGGATCCTTCTTCCCCAAAAGAAAGAAAAAAGAAAGAAAAGAGAAAAGAGATAAAAAAAGAAAAAAAAAAGAAAAGAGACAAAAAAAGGAAAAAAGAAAAAACAAAAGAGACAAAAAAGGAAAGCGAGGAAAGTGAGGAAAGAGGAAAAGGGAGGGAGAATTAGCAGATAATAATAATAATAATAAAAAAAAAAGGAATGGAAAGACTCACATTTGTACCATCTTTGCCTTTTTATCATGCAAAAAGGCTCAGAGGGCCTCACCTCCCCATCCTCAGACATGGGAGAGCAGACTGGGCAGTTTGGGGGCAATTTTCACCTTCACCCCACGCTCCCCTCCCTGCTGTCCTTTCGCCGAGGATGGAAACACCTCGAGGAGGTGCAGGAGGCTCCGCAGCCTCACGGAAGCTGAAGCCTTTTTGGCACTTGAGCAGCTCCTGAAGCACAAATCCCAGGGTGGTTGAGGCTGGAAGGGACCCCCAGGGCTCCCCCAGCGCAGCCCCTGCTCCAGCAGGGACACCCAGAGCACGGGGCACCCGGGCGCATCCCGGCGCGCTGGCAGATCTGCAGAGCAGGAGCCTCCGCAGCCTCCCTGGGCAGCCTGGGCCAGGGCTCGGGCACCTTCCCACCAAACAAGCTCTTCCTCACGGCCACGTGGAGCTGCCTGCGCTGCAGCTTGGCCCCAGGGCCCCTTGGCCTGCCACTGGCCACCACGGAGAAGAATTTGGCCCCAAATCTCTCACTGGGACAGCTCTGCCGTGCGCCACGGCCGCTCAGGCACCGGCTCCATCAATATTTAAACACCCAGGCAGAAAAGCTGTAGCCGAAGCTGCTTCCCAGCCCCTGACGGGATCAATGGGGAACAAAAGGCTGCAGTCTGCGGATGCTCGGGCCGCGGGGGCCCAGGCTGCGAGCTGGCACGGGCGCCTCTCCTCCCCGCCGCGGCTCGAGTTTCCCTGGGCACAGCCGGGCGCCTTGAGCGGCCTCCAGCAGCCTGGCACGGAGCTGCCTGCGTGCCAGGGCAGAGCTCCCTGCTTCCCGGAGCGCTCCCAAGCCCCGGCTTCAGCCCGACGCCTTGCTGCAGCTCCGCGCAATTCCTTGGGTGAAAATTCCAGGCAATTAGGAACTTATCTGAGGCTCAGACCGCTGGGTCTTTGGTTCCCACATCCTGACCCTGGCCAGCTGCGCCCGAGGGGCAGGAAAATCATAATGCCCTCGGCTAGTTTGACACTGCGTCGAGGCGGGAGATCTTGTTTCCCTTCGCTATAAATGTAAGCGATCACGAGATTATCCGCAGCCCATCCTCTGGCTCCCTGCTCCTTGCAGCGCTGAGTTCAGTCCCAGCTCCAGAGAGCTCCAGGAATGTGCAGAACTTGCCTTTTTTTAGCTGTCTTTTGTATCACTTTGTTGTTGAGATGCCGGAGAGAGGGCGGGAAAAAACAGCACGTGAAGAACAAAATAAAAAAGAAAATCATTATATCTCTTGGCTAAAGACGGGAGCTGGAACACCGTACCTGCCTGTGAGCAAATTGGTTAAACTACTGTCTCAGTTTTGCCTACCAACAGGTTGGGGATAAATTTATCCCCCCAGGGGAGAGCAGCCCAGAGAAATGATGAAAAACTCCGCCAAAAGCAACTACGGATATGTAAAAGCATTCCTAAAGAAAAGCATTTATTGGAAATATTGGCAAATTAAGACCTCGCGAGCAACGGCGAGCCGGGGGAAATTTGTTGGTTAATTCCATTAGGGCTCTAGAAGCCATTTCCCCACCCACGTCTCCTTCCTGCAACCGCTCGCTCCAAATCACCGGCCGCTTCAGCTCCTGACAGCGGCGCGTTCGGAGCCGTTCGGAGCGGAGCATCAAATAACGGAGCGTCGGTGCCCGGGCTGGTGCCCGCGCCCGGAGCCCGGCCCCGCCCGGAGCCCGGCCTCCGCCAAAGGGCGGACAAATCCTGAGCACCAGTGCCAGAGCTGGAAATCCATCTGCCCTCCATCCCCGGAGAGAGAGGCAGCGGGAATGGATACCCGCATCTCCTCCAGCCCTAGGGGAGATATATTAGCTGGTTACGTAATAAACCCGGCGCTTCCAAGGACTAGCGCGCAGACAAAGCCCTTCCCTTTAATACCACCGGAGATTAGAGCGAGTCGAAGAGGAGTGGAAGCAAGGAGAGGGGCTGCGGGCGAGGTTTTGCGTCGAGGAAAAGGCTGCCCCCGCTCTCCCCTTAATGCACTCTAAATCCCATCTGATTTCCAACTCTAAAAGAGAACGAAAAACCCAGCGCGCATTAAAAGGATATTAACGCTGGATGAATGAGGTGGAGTGACTCAGGTCCAGGAAAGGGGTGGAGGAGGAAAGCGGTGATAGGGAAGCATCCAGAGGAATCCAGACCTTGAAAGCACTTTGGAAAGGGACCGAAGGGGGCAGAGGTGCAGATCCGCTAACCCACTTTTTCTTCTCAAAAAGATGCTAACGTGCCGGCGCAAATCTGCTTAGTTGCTGCTTTGGAGTATCCAGGGCCAGATCCTTCCTTCAGTAAATGCCATTTCCCATCTCCCTTGTGACCTGCTGCCAGCAGAGCACTAATACAGCCCGACTCCCCTCCATCCTCCCCAACCAGTTGCATTCCTGGCTCTGCACGTAGGGCTCTCACTTTATTTCTGCTCCCTCTTCAGGCTGGCTGACTCCACAGCAAAAACCTGGAAGGTGCTGGGGAGGAATTATCCCTCCCTCCAGCTGCCCCTTTTCACTGCCAGCCAAGGGAGTGCATTCCATACAAGAGGAGGATTTCCTTGGAAGTCAAAGTCCAGGACTGATCTGGAAAGACTTGTGCTTCACGAGCAGGGTGAGGAGGCAGCAGGTCCTGCTCTGCCACACGCTTTCCCCCTTGGGCAATGAGAGCTCAAATATCCCCATCCTCAGGGCAATGTTGCCTTTCAGCTGCACAGCTGGCACCCTTTCAGAATGGATTTTGACCTTTCTGCTTCCCTTTCACCCAAATAAGCAGCGAGTTTCCTCCCTAAACCTGGAAGCCTTGGTAAAGGTGTCAGAGACGTGGTAGCCAGATCTGCTACAGCCTCTGAGGCAGCTTTCACGAATGTACCAATTTATTCATTACCAGCTTAGTTTGAACGACCACAAGTCACCAGACTTGGCAAAAGAGACATTCAGAAGTAGCTGAGAAACGCCAGAGAAAATCCCTAAAATGTCATTATCTCTAGATAGTGGCACGATGAAAAGTCATAAGGAAAGTGCAACCTGCCCAAGGTTGCACTGCTGATGGGTGCCCGAGTAGTGTTATCCAGACAGAAAAGCAACAGTTCTTTCAAGAGCAGCCAACAAAAATACCAAAAAAAACTAGAGAAGGGAAGGAAGCGGGTAATAATACTTGGGCTAGACTCTCTGCCACTCCACAGGGAACTGTTTTGGACCCAAGTTTATTATAGCAACTATGTTAGCCAACAAATTTGTGGCTGTCTGGTGCTAGGCACTGAGATACATTGACCTTTCCCTCAAAACTATGGTTTTGAGTCCAGTCACCAGCCCCATGGAAGCAAATAGGCTGGTGCTACCATTTAGTCCTGGGCTTTTAAATCACACTCAAGTTAATGACAACCTGCAGCGAGGCAGAACGACATTACGGGCAGTATTGTGACATCTCAAGTGAGAAAAAGCAAAAAAACCCACGTGAGAGCAACGGAAAAACCAGAGCCTTGAGACAAAGCTTTGCCTCAGTCTTACCGTTGGCGTCTTGGACTCCGGTGAGCGCTCCCACTGCTGCCGCGGTTTCTCCGGACAGGACGATCTGCCCTCCGCCTTGCAGGGTGGCTTCAGCGAGCGTGGCTACGGCGTGGGCGGCTGCTTCGCTGTGGACACGGGGAGCAGGAGGGGCAGAATTAGGATGAAGAACAAATAAGGCAACAGCTTGGCTTCGGTAGGACCTGTTCTAACTAAGCATCGCAGGTCAAGAGAGTATAAACACCTCAAGAGTGGGATTCACTGTGTTGTTGAGTTTCTTCATGGGAATGAGGTCAGATCTTAAGAACATCTTTGGTGTGAGGGTGCCCAGGCTGCCCAGGGAGGCTGCGGAGGCTCCTGCTCTGCAGATCTGCCAGCGCGCCGGGATGCGCCCGGGTGCCCCGTGCTCTGGGTGTCCCTGCCGGAGCAGGGGCTGCGCTGGGGGAGCCCTGGGGGTCCCTTCCAGCCTCAGCCACCCTGGGATTCTGTGTGACTGTGGGAGATCAAAGGCCCACTCACGCAGCAATACCAGGTATTTAGGAAGCAGCGTGTGATCCTTCCCCTCCTGCATCCCCTCAGCTTCCAGCAGGCCACAACATATTGATTTCCTGCAGCAGGTTTGATTCATCTCATCCCCTTTGAAATCCATTTCTACTCTTTGCTTCCACAACATCCTGTGGCAGCGAGTTGCACATCTAACTAGGTGCTGTGTGAATAAAAACGCTGGATTCTGGTAGCCTGAAAACCATCTCCTCAGTTTTGTTAGGCAGTCTTGAGCTCTTTTATTACATTTTCATTTTCCTCATGATTTTATGGACTTCCCAGTAATTTCTTTCCCCAAACTGAACTGCCACAATGAAAGTCTCCTGCAGGACAGTTTCCTGAGCACTTTGCTGAATATATGAGATATTTCTTTGTGTGTGTATTACTTGGCACTTATTGACAGCAGATTTTATTTGCCGTTTTGCTGCACAGGAAGAGAGCTGCAAGGATCTTTCAGCAGGTACTCGGGTTTCTCCAGCCTTCCTGGATGACTATTAGCTACTTCTGGTGACCTACAACTATTCACCGATCTACTCCCAAACCACCTTCGTTGTACAGCTGAATCTCTTATCATTCCTCACCTTTATGGACTGAGAAGTTGATATTTCTTCAGCCTTTCCTATGGAAGAGAGACCAAAGAACTCATGTGGCTTCCTCTAGAATACTTCTCTCTAACTTGTTCTCTGTAGATTGATCGATTCAAGTATTTTATAAGGATTTCCTACTTGTTGCTTCTCTTTCCTGCTTAAACCTCATGTATTATCCAGCTGAATCCAACGGTGTATTTTTGTTTTCACATAGCAGCTCTTAAACACTGCTATGGAACCACACTATTTTGTCATCCTGTCTTCCTTTTTCCCTGAGTTAATCTCTGGTGAATCTGCAGCTCTACGGCAGCAGTTACAGTGCAGGAAAATCAGTTGCTCACAGCAAATTTGGGAGAAAACAAGGATTTACTGGTGCAACCCTATTTCTCAGGCCTCACACAACATTTATTTGAATCCATTTCCAAGGGCAGTTTAGTATTCTAATAATCTGTGACATCAGCATCCCTGAAAATAATAATGATGTGCTGCATAAAAGCTTCCTCCAGTTACAGTGTGCTCCAGAAACATTAATTAGGTCAAATCAATGAATCAATTACCCTCCCCTACCTTGTCTTTTCTTAGTAGGCCTGCTATTTCCCAACCTCAAAGCTGAGAGCAGTTGTTTCCTCTGGCACCACATGCTCTTTGCAGGGATATTGCTCTACACGGCACTGCAAGAGACTTGGGTTCTCCATCAGAAGCCATCAAAGCAGGAATGTGAGATGGCAGCTTTGAGCTAAATTGGGCATAAAGTTTCCAGAGCTGCTAAGAGCCATTAGCTGTTCAAGGTCTAGCCTCTTTCTGAGACCTTCTTCCAGGTAGGACAAAGACAGAAAAGTTGCATGGAGCTTTTTGTGGAGAAGAAGACACCTCCTTCTGCATGGAGGAGCTCTGCAGGGCTGCCCATCCAGCCTCGTCACAGTCAGCAGGAGAAGACAACTGGGACCTGAGGGGCTACAACTAGGGGCAAGGCATGAAATAAAATCAAAAGCTTGGGGCAGTTCTTTTCTGTGGTTCCACACCGAGTTATTTTAGCTGGAGTTTTTAGAATCTCCTGGATTGATTTCATTTTTACAGTGGAACTATTTGTTAAAGAAAAGCCCATTTAATCATCCACAACGACTGCAAGTAGCAGAAAATAACGTATCTGATGGACAGAAGAAGCAGTTCTAGCTTTGATCTCGATTCACTTGCAATAGCGATTTGGAAACAACCTGCTGAATGTCCTTTGCCCTGGCCAACAGCTGCCACGGGATCCTGATGTGGATGAAGACAGTATTTTGTCAACCCCTCACCAGAGTGAAACCTTCTGCACTGCTGGGGCTGGTCACACACTTCTTACTACCTTCCTGGGATGCAGCTGCACGAGCCACAACCATTCCCACAGCAGGAGAACAGCAGGCAGAGCTTGAGCAGCTCCCTGGAGCTGAGCGAGGACGCTGCTTCCAGCTGCACAGACCTCAGGAAACACCTGAGGTGCCTTTGGGTACCACCAAAATGCCCCACCAAGCTCACTCCATGATGAAGCAGCAACATCACGTTGCAGCTCATTCAACACCTGCTCCAGAAACGTATTTTGGGAGAAACACCAGCCTTCCAGACAGATTCTGAATCCTGAAAAGAGGTTATGCTGCCACAAAAAAGGGAAATTCAGCCTTTTTTAAGCCTTATAATAATTTACATTAACAATATCGAAGGAGAATGCGACCAGCATACTTAAGAGGTGCTCTTAGCACATGGTGGCTCTTGCTTGCTTAGCTGGCTTACTTCTGTAACCAGACCCTTGCTGTACAAACCGGATCGCTAGAGGATACGGTTACTATCCATTTTTTCCAACCAATTTCCATTTCAGTGAGCTCCTGTGGCTACAAAGGCACTCGGGAACAGTCCTGAGGACTCCTGGGTGAAGTAATTCCCTACGGAAAAGCCTCTCCTGGCCTCGTGTGCCACGGCCTTTGTGCCGTTGGATGTGATGGGAAGCTGGAGAAAGTGCAGGCAGATGCTTTTCATGTTGATACTTGGGCCTGTTTAGCTTGGAGAAGGTTGAGAGGGGATCTGATTAACATGTATAAGTTCATGAAGGGGGAATGTAGGGAGGAAGGGGACAAGCTCTTCCCAGTGACGGCCAGTGACAGGACAAGGTGCAACACAGGAAGTTCTGTCTCCAGGTGAGGAGGAACTTCTTTCGTGTGAGGGTGACAGAGCCCTGGCACAGGCTGCCCAGGGAGGTTGTGGAGTCTCCTTCTCTGGAGGTCTCCAAAACCTGCCTGGATGCCACCCTGTGCCACATGCTCTGGGTGTCCCTGCTTGAGCAGGAAGGTTGGACTAGATGATCTCTAGAGGTCCCTTCCAACCTCAACCATTCTGTGGTTTTGTGATTCTGTGTCTGCTCTGCTCAGTCCTACCTGTTGAGTGCCATGGTAACAGTTGCTCCTTGCTGCATCTCCTGCGACGCTGCCACCGCCGCCTCTGCCAGCGATGCCACTGCCTGCGTGGCCTCCGATGCCTGCGTCGTCTGGATGGTCATCTCGCCCCCCTGTAGCGTTGCCCAGTTCTGCTCCACCTATGGGGGGGAAACAAAAAGACAGGCTCTGGGATAGGAAGTCGTCCCAACAGGTGGCTGCTTCCAAAAGGATGGAGCTGGAAGATGTCTCTGCAGAATCCTGTGTGTGCTCCGAGAGACTTGGATCACCAAAAAGGGCCTCAGGGAAGATGTTGGGGAGGCACCTGGGAGCATCTTTGGACCTTCAGTCCTCTCGCAGCCATAAATTTTTAATCAGCCCATGGCTCGAGCTGCTGTTCTCCATATGCTCCAGCTTCAAAGGGGGACCCATGTTCTCACACACGTGGAAGGCGTTTCCCCTGAACATTTGGGGCACCTCCTTCAAACTCCTCTTTTTCAGCCAGGCCCAGCAAAGCCCGGACAATGGTTAGATCGTGGCTGTACACGGATCCGTGTCCATCCGTGTAGGCTACGAAGCAGCTGCGTTTCTGTGGAGCTCGAAAGCCGGGCACAGATCACCACCCCACAAGGGACAGGGCTGCATTTACCCCCCAGAACCCACTTGTCTGCATCCGTCTGTTGTCATTTTGGGGAACAGACTGTGTTCTCATTCAGGGTTTATTTGCACAGCACTTGGCACAAAGTCATTTGAGTTCCCACCTGGAATTTTTGTGCTGCGCTAACACCACTACTAACAGTAAATGGTAGGAAAAAGCCCCTTGGTTCACGTACTTTAGGCACTCTAAATTCCATTACTTCAGACCTTTACACAGACAGAGCCCATAACACCTTAAGATCACCCAGCCCCAGCTTCTCACTTTCCACTCAACCTTTGCTTGTGCATTTGGGACCTCACAACTCATGAGACATCGAACGTGTGGTCAAAACCCCCACCAGGATGCAAACCAGCAAGCAGCACTGGATCAAACGTATAGAGAACTGCAGGATGAAGGTCCATCAGCCAACAAATCCTACCGGTTGCTTTGCAGGAAGATCTCTTCTCTCCTGTCTCTCTTCCCATCCCTATTAACATTACAGGCCACTCATCATCTCGCTAAAACTCTGGCACACACTAATAGGGAGATCCCAGAAAGTGATGAAAAAGCAATCCCTCCATTTGTTAGAATGGAGGGAGGCAACTGGTCCATAGGAGCAGGGCTGGCTCCTCACACAAGCACAAGCTGAGCCAGCAGCCTGATGTCCAAGGAACTGCTCTGCTTGCCTGGCCCCAGAGATGACCCTGCCCAGGAGGATCCAAAGCCAGGAGGGAGCAAGGAGAGAGTGAAACAAGAAAAGGAAAGAGGAGGCAGACTTTGGAGCATCTTTCAGAAATATGCAGTGTAGCCTGAGTGCCCACAGGAGGAGAAATTGCAGATGGTGGGTACAGACCAGGTTTGTGGACACACACCAGAAGCAAACTAAAGCGACCCTGAGTGGGGAAGAAGCAATTTTTTAAATACACGGTCACACACAGTTGAGAATAAAGCAGCTCTCCGCTGTGACGTGCAACGCCCTGCAAGGATGGCTAAGTCGCAGCAGAACAGGGAAGCAGGAGAGCCTGGAAAAGGGGCCCTTATCCATGTGCTCCTCCGTACTGACGGCAAGGTCACGCTGCCGGATTGCTCGCCCAGGACTAACCCCGATCCCTGCACAGCTCCGCAGGGCAGAGCCTACCCACAGACACTGCCAGCACGGGGACGCTGGGCCCGTGTTTACTTTCACATCTTTATTTTGTCCAAAATTAAACATTTAATTCACATAAGAGAGCAGGGGAACGCAGGCATCCAACTCCTACTGGGGCTTTTGAGATTTTCCTTTCGGGTCTCAAGACACACAGGCGGTTGTGCCACCCTCAAAGCAGCTCTGAAGTCCTCCAAGGCCGCAGCCCCCGACACCGGGCTATGTCCCTTGGGCTCTCGGATAGAAATACGGTCTCGTGTCGGACAAAGCTGTTCTGCACTGCCACCTGTCGCCACGAAAGCCCCACGGGCACCGAGCGCCGCAGCCGGGCCTCGCCAGACGCTCCTCGGCCAGAAATCCAGCGCGTAGCCAAGCAGCAGCCAACTACCTGCAGCTCACGTGCTTACATCTACAAGTCTGAAATGGCATGATCAAATCTTCAACAGAAAAAGCTCTGCCAAGTTTTAAATTCCTGGAAGAAAAACAAGCGACAGCATGATGCTCTGCAGTGTCTCGTAGCATCGCGGCACTAATGCGCATTTATACAGCCCTCTCCGGGATTTGCTTGCAAAGCTCTCTCAAAGCTGCAGCAGGGAACCAGTCCTGTTTTGTCTGGAGCCATGCAACACGTTTTGCTAACCAAAATGACCCCAAAAAACCCAGGTATCACTCCCAACCTGAATGGCAAACCAGCACGGAGGAATTAAACCACACAAGATACGTTGTGTTCCCATGGATTAACGCTGCAGGGTAGAGTAGTGAGGTTTGGTGCTTTCACTTAATTGCAGAGAATTTAACTTTATCGAAGTTCAGACAGGACAATTCTGCTGTGCACAGGCTGACCCAGCTCCTTACCTCTCCATCGGTCACTGCAGAATAATTGACTTGTGCGACGGTGACTGTGGTTGGCAACTCTGAGGCATCAGCCAGTGTGGCAACCGTGGCACCGGTGCCAACCTGCAAGAGGCAACAAAATGCAGACAAATCATTTGTTACTGCAGGAAAACATCCACGTAGCTCAAGCAAAGGGACATTCAAATACTTTTTGATTAAAAGTCATTGCACCTGTAGAGAATAATAGTAAAAGGCTCATGGAAAATACTTGGCTGTCTCGAAGGGCTAGGAGAGGAAACGATGTGATAGAGCAACGTGCTGTGTGGCAGCTTCCAGAGTGGACAGGACACAGAAATACGCCGTGCACAGCCCCAAACGGTGCCAGCTCCTGCATTCCCAGCGGAGACACTGGATTCTCCTAGTGTCTCAAGCAGAAGCTGCAGGACAGTTCCCAGGTGTATGCATCAGTCCATCCTCCCCAACCCGCTGGATTTGGAAATTACCTTTTCCCCTTTAAAAGCTGGGAAAGGGCAAGGGCGGGGAGCTGTTGGGGCAGCTCTGTTTCTAAGGAGAATCACACTACAAAAGCCGGAAAGTCAAAGGGATCCCAGGTGCCCAGTGCCTAAGAGGACACTAGGGAAAACGCTCATCAGCAGGTGAGCAAACAAGCAGCCCGGCAGGCCTGCCTGGCCGGAGGGGGCAGGGGGAAGCCCTGGAAAACTTCCATTTGAAAAACCAACAAACAAAAAAAAAAGGTTTTTATCTTTATGGCTCTGAGAACATCAAAAAATGATGTTTGAAACTGCTAAAATTTTGATGCTAAAGCCATCGACATCGTTAAAGGAAGAGAGTTCCGTGGCCTCTCCTCTCATCACTTTGTCTCACTGCCACCACAGATGTTGTGTGGTCCCACGTGGAACTGTGCTGGTGTTCCTTAAATGGGTTAAACTCGGGTCAGAGCCCTAAACTGCTTAATCCAGCAGCTGCAGAAACGCTCGTGCTGTCGTAGGGGAGGAAGCAGCACAAGGGCAGCAGCTGGAAGTGGGGAGATGACAGGACTGCTTCCTCTGCTGGCTTAAGGCAGCAAGACAAAGACAGGATTTTTGAAGCACAACTTAAGCTACCCAAAGGAGTTTGCTCCAAAGCCCATCCCACTCACCGGCAACTCGCTGCTGAGCCAGCAGTGCTGGAAGAGTGAATCCTGCAGGGTTTTGCTCACCTGGATGAGGGACACGGTGCCATCGGGATTACTGAAGGTTTGTACCACCGTCTGCGACGGCACCAGGTGTGCTATACTGTGTGTGGCTGTGGTCTGCTGTTGTGTCTGCTGATCCTCGAACGCGTAGAGCAGGTCCTCGCGCCCGTGCTGCTTGTAGCAGTTCTTCACAATCGTCCGCAACGCCTGGGTCCACGACACCTGCCGGCAGAATTAGAAGAGGGAGGGAAAAACGGAGTTTTATGAAGCATTTCAGTGCTGTGATGTGCATGCTGTGATTTTCGTGTTTGTATTTCGGTTTTTAAAATAAACCTCAAGCAAAAAAAAAAAAACCACCCCAAATTTAATTCCCTTCTCCTTATCCACTCCATTCCTCAGCTGCATTTCTGAGTGTTGTTACAGAATAAGCACATCTGTCCAAGGGAAAGAGGAATTTTCTCAGTTAAATCTGTTTTTCCGGCTGCCAAGGAAGCCCAACCAAGGCATTTGATCTGACAACCAGAAAACTGTTCCTATCTAGGAAAGGGCTGACTGATGCAGCAGCATTTCCAGCCTTCCTAAGCATCCCTCCCCACCTGGTTGAAGGAACATGCTGAGAGCACAGGCACATCGTGCAGGCAGGAGCAGATTGAAGGCTCTGCCCCTCCTCTCAATGCTCTCACACGTGGAGTCTCTGTCATGAAGCCAAGGAAGGGCCAACGCAGGAGGTTCCTCTGTCCCTCGAGGGGAAAGCCACCCACCAAGCCCCTGTGCTCCGCGTGAGGGTGGACACACGTGCCCAACGCACCCGCTGCTTCTGCTCCTCCGTACGGACGTCGCTGCGGACGTTGGCCCACGGGATGTCCTCGGGCCACCAGATGGGCTTGCAGCTCTCCTTGCCCCAGCCTGGCTTCCCGCGGCCCGTGGAGTACTTGAGCATCTCGGGGATGAACGCTCGCAGCTGCGCCTGCAACAAAGCAAAGGATGTAGGAACCTGCATCTCTGGTGGGTTTGAGACCTGTTTTACACCGTAATTACACTTCATTTCCATCCTGTTGGGTTAGCCACTGGAAGATGCCCAAGCACCTGAGAAGGACAAGCAAACACCATCAGATAGCAAGACTGGGCCGAGAATAGCTCAGGAGCACGTGGAAGAGCAGAAACAAAATAAAGTGAGGCAATTAGAATGATAAGGCAGGGACACCCATAGTACTGATGGTACTCTGTGGTTCAAACACCTGCTTGTTCCTCAAGGGGAAACGGATTTGCAAGTTCTCTTTTCTCTGTTATACTCTATACTGAGACTCCCTGCGGTATTTTTTTTGTCAGATGCAGCACAGAGGGGTATTGTGGAGGAGCAGGGACGTGCAGGCTCTCCCTGGGTCCTTGCAGGAAGCCCCAAGCCCCTCCATGCACTGCTCCAAGTTGCTCTTTCCAAGGCAGGACTGCTCTGCAAAGGCCCTAGCCTGCAGGAGGAGAAAACTGAAGGGCGATTAAATCCAGAAAACTTTCTGTGAACACGTGGTTTGCTTCATGGCCCCGGCTGCAGCAGTGCCCAGCCTTTGGAGGCCACCAAAATACAAGGTATTTTGGGGTTCCACACCAAGTATTGCTCGAAGCACCAGCTGCATTTCAGCTCCTCCAGCCCCGCTGAGCTAACAGGGAGGCCAGCGATGGGCCAGGACCACCTGGAGAAGCAGCAGCCCCTCCAGTGTGACCCCCATTTCTCTAAGCTCATACGGAGTCACCAGGGAGAACTCCCCGTTGTGACTCAGGGCACTGTGTGTTCTTACCTGCCCTTCCACTGCATCTTGCATCAGAGGGGAAAGCTCCCTAACAGAAACCAAGGCACCAAAAACCCACCGTGGCCACGCAAAAGCAATGTCAACCATTCCAGGCTCTGTTTTTGAGTTGTTTGGTGCAAAAACAGCTAAGAGCTCCTTCCCCAAACTGCTCTTGGGGGGCCAGGCTACCAGGTGGATTAACCGGTCCCGGGGAGTTCGGTGGCGCAGGCTGCTCAGGGCACTTGTTAAGGAGCGCTGCCTCTAATCCGCCCTGGGGATAATCAAGAGCAGCTCTGCAACCTGCTCCAGAGCCTCCCTAATGAGCGTCCTAACGAGGCTGCAGCCGGTGGCTGAGCCGGGGCTCGCGTGGGGACGATGGCCCCGCTTCTCGGAGGGGCCACAGCCACCACTGCGTCGCCTGGAGTCGCCCGTCCTGCTAAGGGCACCTGAGAACTGCCCCAAAAACCAAATGGCTGCTAAAAAAAAGACAAGAGCTCCCACCGGTTTCCACTGACATCAGTTCTGGCAGGAGCCGTGTGAGTTGCAGAGCATGAAGGGAGCTGTGAGAAGTATTTCCTTGAGACCTTTGGTTCCAAGTCCAAGCACCTTCTACAGATTAACACCAAACTAAAACCTTTTAGTTTAAGCAATCCCAGTTTAAGCAATCCCAGTTCCACCATTTGCAGCAGCCCCAAGTTCAGACAACTGCCCGCAAGCCCTGGGGACAACCAGCCCCGCACAAGGAGCACCCAGCAACGGTCAGGCCTGGACCTTTATGTTCCCTAAGGGAAGGGGGTTCCAGAGCAGAGCCCAGGGGTACCAGGAACCTTCTCCCTGTCCTGTAGCCCAGAAGCAGCAGCTGCCACGAGCTGTGGCTGGAAACCTGCTCTGCTCTTGGTCCCAGGGCCCAGATCTCCACCTCGCTTCGGGGCAGCTGCATTGCAGGAGGCCCCCTCAGCCGGGCACTGCTGCCCAGCACTGCCCCTCTGCGAAGGCACCCGAGGGCATCACGTGGGATTTAATTATTGTTTCTTAGTGTGAGGCTCCTACTTACACTCTTGCCACTCCACCAAGCGAGCTGCTGTTTAGGCTGAGCTTTGGGCACGGCTGCAGGCAGAGGTGAAGCTGAGATTTGGGAAGGTAAGATGAAGGCTTCGTGGGCTTGTACAAGCAGCCTATAGTGGGGTGTGCTAAAAAGGGGCACATTAAGAGACAAATGGTCTGCTCAGAAAAGGATGAATAACTTGCAGTGACCCTAGGGAGAACCAAGTGGCCTCAGCACTCGCCAGCCTCGCTCCTTAAGGAGGCCAGCGAGAAACTGAGAACAAGATCAGGGACAAAAGCAGCCCTGAACGAAGTGGCCAAGGAGCCAGAGCAAGTGGAGAACAGTGATTTCATCTGTTTTGCTTCTTTTTTAAGTTTGCCCATGAGTCTGGCAAAGACTATAGGGCCACAGGGGCTGGACTTCTTGGGCAACAAAATTATCACCTAATTATCACCTATCAACCTAAGTTCCACCCCCTTTTCTTGTTGCAAATTTTACCAGGTGGAAGACCTGCTTTGTGAGAATCCACCCAAGATTTTGCAGTGCTGCCAATGAAACGTAATGCTCCATCCTCAAGCAGTCATTCAAGAACCTCAAAGCACTTCAATAACATCTACAAAATGGGCAGGCAGATGCCCCACGGGGGCTCTGATAAGCAGGGAAAGGCAGAGTTGGCCAAACTGGGCACAAAAGCGCGGAATGTGTCCACAGTTTGGAGTAACAGAAACCTGTCCAGACTGTTTTCAGTTCCACGTTGTCCTGGGTGGACGATTGCTGCTCCAGGAGGCTGCTCGCTTTAACGGGGCGTGAGTTGCGCTGCTGTTGCGTCAGCAGCCTGCACGCTTGCTCAGGGAACAGTAGAGCCAAATGTGGAGGAAAAACATCATCCCTCACTTCATGGAGCTGCAAGAAACCTGGGGACACCGGAGGGTTGTGCATGGGACCGGCTAGCGAAGTCCTGGTGCTCCAGGTCCACAGACCTTCATGTAGCGACGAGCCCAGGTCTGGCACCTGTGTCCTCCCTGCTCTGGTGCTGCACAAAGTCAATTCTTTGGGAAAAGAGGGTTATTTAACCTAGCCCACGAATATTCTCCATCCTACGTCAGTCTTCCCTAAACCCAGCAAGACTGGATTCAGCTCCTATAAGGAATTTTGCATCTTCCAGGGAAAAGCCCTTGTCAGCAGTGCAGAACCAGCACCTCAGACTTCAGAGCTGCCTCCCACAAGGAAACACTGAGCAACCAAATGCCAGGAGCAACTTAGCTAGGCCTGATCTCTCTGCAGGATCTCCTGAAATCCAAGGCCATGCCATGTCTAGAAGGGAAAAAGAGTTCTGCTTTTCTCTAACTTGGCAAATATTTGTATTTTATTCAAGGAATTTAGGAGTGGAGGTTGTATAGCCATGTCTAGAGGGGAGGTAGGAAACACCTAAGCAGTCCTCAGTGTTAAAATATTCAACTTCCATCTCTATCACAAACAAAACAATGTGCATTATAAATCCATGGAAAGGCTCCTCTGAAATGAGAGGTTGTTTCTTGTATTGCTGTCTGGACAGCATATGCATCATTAACAGCCAAATATTTGACAGATATTTTTAGTGGCCTTCTTATATCCATGCACATATTCCGTGCCTTGCAAATCAAAGCAGCTCCCCAGCTACATTACTGTGCTGCAGCCACCTCACAGCCTGGGTCTTATCCATGCACCCTCCCCTCTAGTCTCACCTACTGGGCACCTCTCTACTAGTGAAAGCACCTTTTTTGTTCCTTCTCAGAGCCCACATGTATCTTCTCTTTCCTTATTCTAGGAATAATCCTCCCTCTGCTTGAAAAAATCTCAGTTTTAGTATCTCTTTCTTGCTGTTTTAAGTCCTGGGCACTTTTTGTTTTCCTTAGGCTTAATTACTACTCCCCCAAGGAAGAAGATTTCCCACCGGCTGATCCATCCATGCCATGGAATCTTCCCCTAGCAATAAGAGGGTATCACACCAGCAAAGCTGGGCCTGGAGAGGAGTTCCCTGCTTCCCTAGGCTAGATGATTCCCTGTCTCCATTAGATGCAACTCAGTCCCTATTCCCAAAGTGGAAAAGTAGGATTGAGCTCAACTTAAAACACTGGGAGCAGAGAGTTTGTCAATCTACACCCCGAAGAGGAGGAGGGAACAAACTAAGCAAACAAGAAGTGTCCAAAGAGGACAAACCCAATGATATTCTGCTCAATCCAGAGACCTTGACCTCAGCACTGGAGAATCACTGCAAAGTGCAGGACAAATAGCTTCTCTCTTCATAATTCATGGGTGGTGACAAGAAGAGCTCCCAAGGGAACGTCCCCAGCACCCTGAGCTCCAGCCCTCAATGACATCCCTACAGTTGCATGTAGAAAATGGGCACCAATGACAAAGCTTCACATCTAACAACTACCTGAGCTCCCATGAGAAAGAGAGAGATCGAATGCATTCCCTGGAGATGCAGACAAGCTCCAGTGCAAAACACCAGTAAGATGCCAACCCACTTCTTTGCTTCTTCCAACTTTCTGCCATGTTTTCACTGTGAGGGTAACAGAGCCCTGGAACAGGCTGCCCAGGTTGTGGAGTCTCCTTCTCTGGAGGTCTTCAAAACCGACCTGGATGCCACCCTGTTCCACATGCTCTGGTGTCCCTGCTCGAGAAGGAAGGTTGGACTAGACCATGTCTAGAGGTCCCATCCAACCTTAACCATTCTGTGATGTCTGGCTGCTCACCTGGGTCATCTTGTCCACGGAGACGGGAATGCCATCGATGGTGAGGGGCGGCAGCTCCGAGTTCACCTCCTGAGGCGCCGGGGCGTGCTCCGCCAGCGCCGACTCCAGGTCTTCCAGAATGACGCTCTTGCACTTGCGGACCTGCGGGGAGTCGTTAAGCCGGGGTAAACACGGCGAGGAGCACCAGGAGAGCCCAGGGTGCCAGGTAACAGAAGGAGCTAACAGGGCTCGGCTGCTAAGGGAAAACCCCAAGGGACCCCAAGACTCAGCTGCAACAAAGAGCTGATGATGAAACATCAGGTAACACCGGCAAGTGGAAGTATTTATGGGATTTAGAGAAAAGTTTGGGAGCAAGAGCTGTCGCAAGCAGGAACTGCTCCGTTTTCTGGTGGTCTGTCCCACAGCCTGGCTGCCTGGATAGGCAACACCACTTCTTTCTTCCTTCCTCAAGCTACTAAGGCTGAAAAGCACCCACATCCTAAGCATTAACAAGCTAAAACGCAGATACTTTAGGGTGAAGGTGCCCTGCAGACACCCACTCAACTTCCCATACAGCAGTTGTGGAGGTGGAAATTTCAATCAAGGATGTTCAGCTCCTGGGAGCAGAGCTAAATAATCAATATTTATGCAGAAAAGACAGGTCTAGACTCATGTTCTTACAATTTCCACTCCTATTTCCAGGGTTTTAAATGCAGCATTTAGGTCACTGTCAGGTTTGCACAGCTGCTTTGAGTCGTCACGAAACCCATAGAAACGACGAGCATTTTATTACTATTTTTGTTTTCCTAGGGACACCTACCACATTCTCCAAGGGTGCAGCACCAAATACTTTGAAGACAGGATTGGGCTTGGAGGGAGAGATGCACAGAACGATGGCCTGCTGCCCCACTCGGGTGGTGTATTCGTCCAGCGTGGCTCGGAGCTTCCTGAAACGGAGGCAGGGAACAGTCAACAGGAGCTGAAAGCCCAGTCCAAACCCCACGTTTCACACTCCAAACCCCATGTTTCACACTCCAACCCCTCTTCCTAGTGCTACTTATGCACCAATCAGGCAAGAAAAGCAGTCCTAGTTGGTTAAATTAGTCACATACCAATTCCTCTGCTCCCTGTAGCCCCACAGCAGCTCACATTATTATCAATTATTCCCCCTCTCCTTCATTTTTTCACTGATGCAAAAAATAAAGGGAAATTAGCTCCGCAGCCAAACTAAGGACAACAAGGTCTGCTCAGACACCGACCGAGGACATGAGGGATGGACAACTTCAAGGCAAAGAACTTGGAATGATTGAACTTCAGTCACAACAGAAGACCACACAGTTTGTGGGTACCACCCTACTCGAAAGGGAGACACTCAGCTGAAAACTACCCAGGCAAGAACAGGCAACACTGCAACAGCTAATGGCAGGAAACCTGTTATTCAGCCACCTGCTGCACCAGGAGGTCCCTTTGGAACCCTGTTTCCACAGGAAGCACCATCATATCCCTTCCTCAACTTACTAACCTTTAAACCACACAACAGACCACGTCAGGAGCTCTGGCAGATGCTTGCAAAACAAAAGCAAAGTGCTAGAAATCACTGCAAGATGTCAGGGTTGTCACGAGGTGACAATTTATGAGTTAACACTGGTTGTTTCGGAACCTCACTGAAACACTGGCTGTTTCAGCAGTGCAAAGATCATCAAATCACAAACTGTAGCTTCCCATTTGATTCATAATTGTGGAAATACCAAGCACCTACCTTTTAAGCTGATCAGAGCATGCAAAGATGGTGCGTTTGCTTGGATTTTACAAGACATCTGCAATTGCACGCAAGGAGAAGGAGCAATTCCTTTGCACAGGAGTTGCTTTAGAAATATCATTTCTAAATGAACCTGGATGGAGAATTGGGGAAGGAGGGGAACAGGGAGTGGACCTTTGAAAGAGGGGATCTGCTACTGTGACTATGATTTAACACTAACCCTGCTGTCTTTCTTTTCAGCTTGATCACATGCAAAGGATGCTTTATGACTCAGCAGGAGGAGTAAGTAGAATATAATGAAGCCAACCTTGTTTCTCAACAACTCTACAAGAGCTATAAGAGGAAAGAGGGAGAAAGGTGAAACTGGCCACTATTATTTCACTGCACCGAGGGTGTAGGCAGAGGGGAAGGAAGCCAGAAAGTTGCCGAGAGCGATGAAACATCAAACTTTTCTGCGATAAATTGATGAAAAACAAACAAATCAAAAACTGAAAAGCAAAAATTGTCCTGTTCCAAAGCCTTCTTTGCCATCCCAGAGCTGGGATGTGGCTGTAGCTCCAGACTCTCTGGAGAGCTGCTGTTAAAGGCACTAAGACCATGTGTAAAGGTGAGGTTCCCATGACAGAGCTGACTTGTGATCAGGTGAGATTAAAACAGAACGGCGAATTCTTGTGTCAATCCGGTGGATACTCACCATTAATGTGGTATTGCATTTGCTCTGCAATTTAATCCATTTCTGCACATTCAAACAGAGCTCCTGGCTTCCAGAAGATGCCAAGAAAGCCCCAAGCAGCACGAGCACGTGCCGTCATCACGACTGGCACCGGAGAGGCACATGGGCACCGGCAGGGTGGCAGCGTGCCCGTAGCAGCCCTTACCGTAGCAAACGCGTCTGCTGCCTCTTGCGGATCGACGGGTTGGACTCAAAGACGTGGGGCCGCTTTCGTTTCTTGCCCGTGGCCACCGCCGCGGCCGCCGCCATCCCCACGGGGCCTGCGAGCAAAGCGGAGCGGGTGAAGCGGCGCGCACCTCGGACCGAGCGCCGCGAGGGCTGCTCCCTCCGCTCCAGGATCATGCACAAGGCATCAAAAGGCTCCATCATCCTCACCGAGGCCAAGGTGAGAGTCACATTTTGCTCTGCAGTTCTCCTCATAATCACAAAATTTGGAATTTGGGAGCTGAGAACTCCCAAGTGCTTCAAGTATTGGAGGGCAGTGTGGGAGCCCTGGGCAGAGGGGAGCTGCAGAAGCGCAGATGCTGCTCGGACACCCCGATCCCAACTGGAAAACCTGCTCAAAACCGGCCCCATAACCCCCCAGGACCCCATAGCCCCCCAGGACCGTGGCTTGGAGCGGGACAAGGGGCCCATCCCCGTGGCATCGGGGCGGTGCGGGCTGTGGCTGTGGCAGCGCTGCCGCCCGCCGCCCGCGCCGGGAACTGCAGCTCCCGCTGCGCCAGCCTCAGCGCAGGAATGGGCTCTGGAGAAAAACCCCGGGAAAATGGATCCCGGGAAAATAAATCTCGGGGAAAAAAAAGAAATAAAAAGGCATGAAAAGCCCATAAGGAAAAGTCTGAAGTCCCCCCAGGTTTAGCGGGTTGGAAGGACACAAGGCTGGGGGCTTAGAGAGGAACCCAGGAACGAGGGAAGGAAAAAGCTCCTGAGAAAAATCCCAGGAAAAAAGTCCCCAGGAAAACAACAACAACAATAATAAATAAGCTGGAAAAAAAAAAAAAAAAAAAAAGAAGCCCAAAAAAAGCCCATAAGAAGTACGAACTCTCCTCAAGTTCAGTAGGTTGGGAAGACACCAGGCTGGGAGCTCAGACAGTGATTTGGGTAGGAGGGAAGGAAAAAGCTCTGGAGAAAAAAAAAAAAAAAAAGGGAAAAAATAGGGGGAAAAAAAATCCAAAAAGCCACATGAGAAATCTGAACTCCCTCCAAACTCAGCAGGTCAGGAGCACACAAGGCTGGGGGCTCAGAGAGGGACCTGGGCTCCAGGGAAGAGGGAGGGAGCAAAAAGCTTCTGAGGAAAATCCATGAAAAAAATACCGTAAAAATAAATCCTGGTGGGGGGAAGGTGTGGAAATTCCTCCTCCCCTCAAAAAGCCCCCCTAAAGACCATGAGGAAAAGTCTAAATTCCCGCCAGGCTCAGAGGGACACAAGGCTGGGGGCTCACAGAGGGACCATGGGGGACGCTCGGAGAGGGACCCTGCGGAGCAGGAGGCTCCGGAGCGGGGACAGAGGTGGAGCTGGAAGGGGGCAGCGAGTGTCACCTGCTGCAGCCAGGTGGGCCGTGACCTCGTCGGCGGCCGTGGAGTTGAGGATGTCCGAGTCGTCGTAGGACGTGTCCTCGGGCGAGGAGGGCGAGTCTTCGTCGGCGCTCAGCATGCTGTGCTCCGTGTAGGTGGCCACGTGGACCTGCTGCACCTGCTGGGCCACTGCGTGAGCCTCGATGGTGGCCATGTGCTCTGTCTGCGTCACCCCGTGGTCTTCCATTAATAGCTGCTGGCAAGGGAGACAAAACAGGGTGGAATTAGGGATGGCAACGGGCACTAAGGGTCTCGCAGGGCAGCCCATGGCCATGAGTTACCTTCTGCAGCAGCAATGCTCCTCCAAGATGCCAAAACGGCCACTGCTCCAGAGGCAGCTACAACACACACAGTTCAGGACACAACATCCCCGGGGTAACCGCCTAATACTGTGACCGAGACCCTCCTGGCCCCAAATCAACAGGTCTGCCCGAAGCGGGAACTTGGTTTTTGCCCCTTGAAGATTCGGCTTGGAGATGGTCAAGGGCAATATGAGATTTCTGCGCGAGCTCGACTGTGTAGGACACAAATTAGGATCAGAAGAGCCTTGGCAGCGAGTTGTGTTTTTGAGGCTTTCCCTGCATTTTCTGTTTGGAGTCTGGCAGCCAGCAAAATCATTATAATCCAGGCATAAGTGTTACCTAAAGCACATTTATCAAAGGCAGTTGGTGGCAAATCACCGAGCGAAGCAGCAGCTCCCACCGCCAGCGGAGCGCTGGATGATGCTCCAGGAACAGAAATGCATCCGGAGGGAAGAGGCCAGGAGGTATCCAGGGATTTTTAGGGTGCGTCTTCCATAGTCTGTGGGGAAGAACAGCCCACACCCCAAAAGAGAGTCCCCCCAAAGCTCAGGATGAGCTGAATGGAAAGGGCTGGATGCAGGGAATGATAAAAGCTCCCCAGCAATCTCAGCATGGCTCCCACGGCAGCTGTGAGCGGCCGTGGGACAAACCAGCCCCTCTCCATCCCATCCAAGATCAACCGACACATTTCTCCTGACCAAATCTCCCGGTGTCTCCTGGTGTCCATGGAAGCACATGCAGAGGGACACAGGGGTCCCCCGTGGATGGTTAAGGTCAGCGTGACCTCAAACAAGAAACACCATCACGTACAGTTGGGTATTTCAAAAGCACAGCTCCAGTTCTCATCTATGTGCCCTCATAAATGCATGACACTTGGCAAATAATTGAAATGACAACAACTCTGACCTGAAAGATTTGGGATTTTGGCTGGAAGTGACGAGAAGAGAAGAGAACAAATCTGGGGAGAGAGATGTGGGGTGTTGGTGAATGTCATTAGCATTTAGATATGTTTATTCTTGCCTTAATGACCAAGGAACTGCAATATTACAGAGTATTTCATTGCCATCTAGTTTCTAAGGGTTTGCTTCCAGGTGTCTCCAAGCACCTCTTGGAGTCTCTTACTTAGGAAGGCATGGGGAACAAACTCACCTACATTCCCACACCACAGCTATTATTCCCAATACGAAAAACTAACAGATCTCCTAAGTGAAGGTTTCCAAAAAGAACAGAAGGGAGATTAAATGCAAATTAGGCCCTGAAGAGATCATCTAAGTGCCTCTCTCCAGGCTAAGGAAGGAACCTGGGGTGCTCAGACCTGCTGGAGACCACAGCATGAACCAGCAGCGCTCACGGCCCGGCCACGTTCACAGCCACAACCCTCCTCAACACTCAAACGCTGCCGGGGATGGATGTTGGTGTCCTGCCCTGCTTACAGGCCAGACTGTAACAGCAGAGCCCTCCCGAAATAGCAGCAACCCAAATACCTCCAACCGAGGTGGGACTAAGGTGTCCAAGTACCAGAACGAACGGAAAACTGGCTGAAAACAAATCAACTGTAACCTCCTGAGGAACCTGTTTTGCCATCGCTGTGGAAAAATGGGAAAGAGGGATTATTGCAAGCTGAATTGTAATGGAAGAGCTCCGGAGGCAGCACCCTCCCAGCCACCACCCGTGGTCTGAAGGGGTTTATTGCCCCCTTCTCTCAACGCAGCAATGCAAGTGCTTTCCATTAAAATAAATGTGTTTATCCATGTAAAAATGCTATGGGAACTGGACTGACAGATCCCGATGACCTTTTGGCTCATTAGGAAACAAGATGCGAGACGACTGATGGGTCAGGTGCTTGGTTCCCCTCAGAACGGAGCCTGCTTGACACACGCGGGTCACACCAAGTGTGTGTTTCCAGAGACAACTCCAACCATATATCTACAAGTGCTATACCCACATACCCTTGATGCAATTAAAAACGATGTTTTTTATAAATAAAACTGGCAGCAGGTGGGCTATGGAGCTACCGGATCACACATTTTGGGTTGGAAAGCAACCAACTAACCAACCAACATCAACGCTTCCCATGGGCAACCATGGGCATTTAGACACGTGTGCATTGGATCTAGTGGTTACCAGTACTCATTTGTCCTCACTTCACGGTGCTCGTTTGAATTTTGGCATTTTTGGAGCCATCAAGATATCAATATCAACATCGGGGATGATCAAAAGCCAGACTGTTGCTGTGCTCACTCGGAGACACGGTTCACTCAGCTCAGACAAGCAGGATCTCAAAGCCATCAATCCAGCACAACTCCTTCCCTCTTCCCAGCTCCCTTCCAAAGGGACCTAGGTACATGCTGCCATGTATAGAGGTCACTGCTTTCATCATGATGATGCTATTGGATTTCTTCCCTCAATCTTTCCCACCTACAGAAAATTGTAGGAAAAGACAAGAAGCTACAGCTGCTGCGGTGTAAACAGAGTGGCTTCCCCACCCTGTGCATATTACAGCGATAAAAGCTCTAGAAAATTCATTTACAGGTTGCAACGGGGCTTAATTCTAGTTTAACTTGACAGCTTTCATCATTCAACGTGGATTTTCTACTTTTCCAACTCAGGCCCTCATGTTTTTCTAGTTCTTCCTTGCAAGAATTTCCAAGAGCTTTAGCCCTGTGTGGTGCTGAGACCCTGGGCTCAGGCTGTTCCCAAAGGATTCCCCTATACAGGGTCAAACTTTGGGGGCAAACACCTTGCCTGGAAGTTTCTGCTGGTCTTACCAACCTCCTGGTGCTGCCCCAGCAGCCAAGAAACCCTTGGCCACATCTAAAGGGTGCCCTGAGCACACCTGTGTTTAACATTCACATTAATGTGCAGGGCATGACGCAAAGGCCATTCTTGATTAACTTCTGTAATTCTAGAAAAAAAAAGCTTATTCCTGGTTTATTTCACAAAGCACACTCATTTTGGGGATGGAAAATACTCAGATGTGTAGTCTGGGTCTAAATCAGAACGGGTTTAGGAACCCCTTTGGTATGACAACACCGGTGAAGACGCTTCCTGGTAGCTGGAGCTCAGCCCTGAAGCCCTGGATCACAGCCAGAAGTTATTTTTATAGTTATCTAAAATGCTTAAAAAATACACAAGAGCATCAAGTCCCTCTCAGCAGCAGCACAGTCACTTCCCGGCTGCGTTGGAGGCTCCTCCGGGCACCATCATTGCTGGAAGAGCACAGGAGGAGCGAAGCCAAGAGAGCAGCGATCAGACAGCGGAAAACAAGGGCAGCTGAACCAAAATAAAGGCCCTGAACTTATTTTTATCCTCTCAAGCCCTGAAGCGGTTTCACTTCCGATGCGGCGCGGGGAAGTTGCTGCTCACCGAGATGGTCTCGGTGCACAAGGGAGCGTCTCATTTCTCTCCTAGCATTTTTTACTGCTCGCCCAATGCAATGCCTTAATCCCCTGCAATCCTGCTCAGGGTAGCAATAAACTGAAGAACTGTGGGGTCTACCTTCAAATAATCTTTAAATAAAATATAATTTTGTATCAGCTCAAAAAGATTAGCTCAAATAATCTCTAAAAGGCTACAAGAAGTGCATTACCCAAACCAAAGTGAAGCAGAAGGGCTGAGCAAGGTATATTCAGAGGGCTCTGGCCAAGACCTGCTCTCCATTCAGCCTGCAAGCACCCCCAAGGTGACACAGAGGGTGACAGGGGGACACAACGAGCAGAGAGATGGGCACGTACTCAGTTTAACAGCCACACTGACCTGTTGGGCTTGGCAGACCTTCCCCGTCCTCGTTTCAGACTGGTCGGATTAATTCACTTCTCTTCCCAGCGATAAGACTATGAAGACTTGATTACGGGACCCACCTAGTGCTCTCTGAAGAATCAGCCTCGAATTGCTGGAAAGATCAAGGATTTGGGTGGGATGTGGAGTCAGATGCTGTGGGAAGCTGTGGTAATGAGTGAAAAAAGGGGACGAAAGGTTGACGCTGCCCTTGCCCATGGAAATGGAAACCCAGCACCCAGTGGACCAACCTGCAGCACTACACAAGCCCCTGTGAGACCGGCCTTAAAAATAAATCAGTAAATAAATAAATAAATAAATAAATAAATAAATAAATAAATAGAAATCTGCCTCGATATTCAAGCTGGTCATCCACTTCACATTTCAATAAAACATCACTCCCTCCTTGGGGAGCTTAATTAAAAAAAAATAAAAAAAAAAAAAAAAAGGAAAAATCAGCAAGTCTACCACCTCCTGCCTTTCTTTGGCTCTTGCGGCCAAGCTGACAAGCATCTGGAGCGCACCGTGAACTTAATGGATTCAAGCCTCCACTGTAAATAAGTCATTTGCTTTGCACGGAACAACCCACCTCACAGAGGCACTTTTGTTCTCAGAGGTTTTTGTGGAGTTAATCACCGGGGCTCCTGTGATCCTAACTCTTGTGCAAGGGCCTGGCGGGTGCACAGCTGCAGGCTGGAGCCCTTCCTGCTTTTCCAACTTCTTCCAGCCTCCTTTTCCAACTTCTTCCAGCAGCGCCTCTGCTGGGAAACCTCTGGAGCGGTTTTGGGCGCCTTTTGGCGTGGTTTTGGTGGAAGGACATGCTCGTCTGCTCCCAGGCTTGGTGCTTAAGGCTGAGCGCAGCTTTAAGCGCCGCGATGCCTGTGGCGGCAGCGGCTCCCAAGGGAGATGAATCCAAAACACCTCGGGCCTCGCAGCCGTGGGGATGTGCAGGAATTTGTCACTTCACTCCCTTTCACGCTCTCCGCGTTAAATCAGATTAAAAAGCAGCGCTTATCCACTTAGCGCGTAAGGTGGTTTTATTTAAAACGCTATTTCCAGCTGCAAGTCTAGCTGAATTCCCAACTCCCTGCAAAGGCAGCATGACACAACTCATGAATAAAACCCGATCCAGGCAGACATTAATCATTCACCACTAACTCACCGAATGAAAATCCTGCTTTAGCAGGGCTGCATTGCGTTT